CTAGCAATTATGCTAGCATGATTTGTGTAATTTATATCAGCACGGCATGTAATGTGGTAGCTAAGAGCTGAAACTGGTTTAAAAATGGCATTTATATCCATATCATTTATATTGTTTTCCACTAAGGTAATGAGATGTCTGCACAGTAATGATCCTAATCAAGACCTACTAAAATCAAAACAGGCTAACACCCCAAGATCAATAGAAAGCATTTGGAACATGCTGGTACAAGATTCGAGAATTTATTATTTTGCATCAGCATCACAAAAAAACATTCTATGAGTCTGAATATGCAAACAACTTCTGGAGATTAAAGTGGGGCCTAAAACTGCCTAGAATACACACTTCTCAATTATTTTTGCACAAATACACATATGATTTGGTAATTAAAACTTTAATTACATCAATATGATTGTAGAGGTCTTGTATAGAATGCATTGAGCTCATTATGCAGTAATTATATGCAATATGAAATTTATTTCACAGTTCAGCAGACTACTGCACTATGTAGCTCTGCTCGCGGTGTTTACCAGCACAGTGTGGAGCAATGGAGTCTGGGTACCTGTAAATTCTGAATGTGACCAGGATGAATGTTTATTAGTTTATTACCAGGTCCAATTCTGGTTTAGCTGGAGAGTTTAAAATGGCTTAAAATTTTCATATACATCCTGTGCTTTGTTTATTAAACATCAGCTGCCAATTAGCTAAGGAACAGATTAATCTCACAATCTACACCAAGCAAAAATAATAAAGAGGATGAAAAACATCCAACAAGGTACTTTTCAGGTGAAGATGATGAAGATTTAGTAGATAGGCACTAATATGAAATGATATCTTTAATAACCATCCATAGAGGAGGGTGTATATGACTGTACTTGTGCCTGAGTGTTACGTTGCGGATGAATGTACATGAATGATAAACTGATAAAAGGTGGTGCTGTCATTTTAGATTGAGTAGCATACCCCCATGCTTCATCTTACAGGAGATCCCATTTGATCAAAACTCCCACATAGTGTACCTATCAATTTTATACTTCAGTACATCTGCTTTTCTACCCTGCAAAAAAATGTGTTTTTCCAGCATTCTGTGGGTTTGCAGGCTGTACTAAAAATTAATCCCCCCCTAGAATCTACAGACTCTGCATTCACAGATTCAAATATTGGTTTTAGAAATGTTTGCATTAAAGGTCAAATAATATAAGGTCATGTTGGATAAGGCGTGCAAACAGCAGGTTCTCTTTGCATCACTGCCAATGACCATATATGTGTAAATGTGGACGGAAAAAATGCCACTAAATCTTTGTCATGTTGCTGTTATGTTTGTTCTCCTTTTACCTATCCTCTTAAAAACGTACAGAGGTACAGCACTTCCCAGGCAGCACCCAAGGAGGGTGATGTCAGTCCTTCCTGACATGCCCTTGGTTCAAAGGAGGATATGTTTGGGAATGCTGGACAGGTTTCTAGTGGGACTGCAGTGGTTTATCCATGGCTCCAATGGCTGTCTAGTAATCTACAGACAGACCGTCCATTTTGTGCGTCTGTTAACTCAAAATGTCCTATTGACCTTAACCCCTGATGTGGTATCTTGGAAACTAATGGGCAAATTTACATTTCCATGTGGTGCTGTAGTTTACTATGTCACAAAAGTCAAGTGCAAAATTAAAAAAATAAGACTCAAGTTAATTGTATGATCCTGGTATGAGGACTCTGTAAGGTAAAAGCAGAGCTGCAGAGAATTTTGGCTAAGAGCCATAAACAAACCAGATTTGCTATTATTTGAAATACTATACATACAACCAAAAAAAGACTTTGTATTTCTATAAGCGGGGTAAAACTATGGAATAATTTAAGTGTGGACATAAAAAATAGTAAAAGAATTGACGAGTTTAAACGTAAATATAAAGGTATGTGTCAATCAAGATATATGCAAGAACAGGCTTAATGATTAATTAGATGGAACATTGTGGGTGTGGTGTATGAATGTTAACACTTTGTAATAATTCTTTAGTATATTACTTGTGTGGTGTA